ACTGTTGCGTGCGCGGTAATGGTGCGACCTCCCGCGGCAGGTACAACTCGCACACTGCACGCACTGCAAAACGGCATCCGCGCAGGAAACACACACACAACGACAGAACAGCCACCAAAAACCAGGAGGAGAGAACCACAATCATCTCCCCCTTAGTTGCACAACAAACAGCCCTCCAATTTTTACGCGAGACAGTTTCTGCAAGCTTGCCATCGTTCCGCTGCACGCTCTCAGCGCCCACAGTGGGAATCAGCACATCGCACAGGTGAAAAACGAAACCTGTCTCACTCCCGTCGGGAAAAACAAAATTACCGTGACGACAACAACAACAGTGCAAGGGTGTCGCGTCGGATGATACGATGGCGTTGTTGGCGTCCAGATCAATGACGCGTACCCTCGGAAATACGCGTGGAAGATACGGCACGTACGACTGCAGAGTCGCGTCCGCAGATAAACGGTATTCGGAGCCAACCCTCTCTTTCTCGCTGGAAAAGATGGGTCAAAAATGCCGTCGGAGAGACAACAGTGCAGAAGGCAGGGAGGGTAAAGTACCGTACACGGGAATCAAATATTTGACTGTCTCGTCCCTGGAAAAGTACAACCAATTTGGCCAGGGTTATCTCGCTCTCTGGCGATGGCACATTCAAAAGAAAACTCACAGTATTGAGGGGAATCAAAAAAGCTCCAACGTGCGTGTTGCGACTCCACAAGAATGTGGACGGTCTGCATGTGTCCATGCAAGTCACAGTCGATAGGCGCATTATAGGGGACGCTGCTTGAGTGCGCCAAACGACGGCTACTTGCCTCATGCCACATCACAGGTAGGCCATCCCTCATCAATCCTTGCAGGATTCGCCTACACTCCTCCAAGGAGTACTGGGGGCATCCGTTGGGCCGCACGCGGATGGCACCATCTTCCACAAAGAGTCTATTCACTAAAAGGCCGCGGTTAAACAGCCCGTCCACAACAATCCTCAAGGGACCGCCACCCACCGCGTGCTGAGGTGGAAAACGCACGCGATGAATACTTCTCCGGTAGGTTTCATCGTGAATACACAACCGCTATTCCCTCCGTCACTGTGTCATCATCAACACAGCAGCAACGCACCAGTGCCGGCTCTGTTGGGTACAATGGGAGAGAAACTCCCAATCTCCAAGCCATTATGTCAACAAGAGAGTCAGACGGCTGCTCTGCCATGGCGATACCGTGTCCCATAAGGTGCAGCAGAATATCAGAGTCCAGCTGATTGGAAGGCTCGGCTGTCATCCCGCCAATGAGAGAAATGCGCGCCACCACGCGATGCTCCGCTGGCAGTCCGCCTCCGTATTGTGTTCCCTCAGTAACGAACTCTGCGTCAGCACTCTCGCCACACTGGTAGGTCTGAATTTTTATCCTGCACGGCACGAGCTGCTGCCACCGCATGCTCCTCCCCTGTTTGCTCACCACCCATCTTCATGCGGCAGCAGCAAGTGAGGCAAACTTCGATTGGTTCCGCCTGCAAGTCCCTCGGTATCTGCTCCATCCACCGCCTTGGAAAACCGGCAATGTGCAGCGGCGGAGCATTTGATCGTTTCAGCAAACAACTTGGAGAAAAAGGGCTCAAGCACACCCACAAGACGCCCAGCGAAAAAAAAGGGAAACACGGCATGACTGACACAACTCAAAGTCATGCTTCTAAAACAATGCGTGGATGACTCCGCCGACGCCACACCCGCACCACATGCCATCAACTCCTCCACGGCAGGAACAAAGTTGCAAGAAGATACAAAATAAAAACACCACTGCAGCACTGCATCCCTCACAACGTCGTCAACCGGCCTGAGGCCTGTCGTCTCGGATCCACCTAGCGTACACCGTTCTTCCGGCACTTTTTTTGAAAGGCGGTCATCCACAAGCCGCGATCCGTCGGTCACACGAAGAGTGCAGGCAACAGGCATGTCTGTCGCACCCTCCATCGCCCGCACAAAGCGTCGAATTGTCGTTGGCAGGAGTGATGTTGTTTCTGCTCCACGCGTCTCCATCTCCCTGGAAAAAGAGACACGCCGACTGCTGCCACCAATTCCTTCCCCGTCGCCTCTCTCCTCCTCCACCAGCCCATAATACTCCGCAGAGTTGCTCACAGCAGTGTCTCCACTATCCCGAACGTGAAACAACTTGAAATTGTTCTCCCTGAGACCCAAAGCGACCAAACCAAAAGCGAGCCGGACATCCAACGGCTGCACTGGCCCAACCCCACAAAATTGCAACAAGTACACAATGACGGGATCGCGACGGCGACACCGCAGAAAAATAGGGTCCACTGCGGAGATTAGTTTGTGTTGCACACAGTTGCGGTGTCCCTGGAGTTCTTGCATCGCCAAAAACAAAATAATCCTGCAGTGTGCGGAGATGACGTTTCACGAGCGCATTATTGGCGGAGCCAAACAACTGCGCCGTCAGCAGATGGCAGCGAGCGGCGGGGGAAAGTGAAGGTGATGGGACTGTTGGGGAGGGTCGATGCGCAGTGTCCCCCACAAATACGAGGCGGGTGAAGTGAAACACACTCGCCTGAAAGTCACCGGCCACCAAAATGCATTGCTCCCCGCTGTTAATATTGATGAGCTCGAGCCTGGAGCAACTACTCGTAATGCGTGAAAGTGTCTTCCTGCACTGACGCTGCGATTCACATTAGACGGGCAACTTCAGCACAGTCGATACCCGGCAGTAAAATGCAGCTGGCATTGGCGCTGTGGATTCCCTATCCCCCGGCAACGAAGAGCGGAGAAGACAACTGGTCTCCCCAGCTGCGCGGCATCCATCCATTCACTCTGTGCGTCCGGAGTGCCCCGCAGCTGCCTTGAGAGATGCAGCGGACAGACCTCCCTTAGTTTCGCCCCGATCCGTCAACGAAGACTTTCACGGTGGTGTCGACACACACCGAAGTCTCCCTCGTGCCCGCCAAATAAAAGACACACCCGTTGAGCATCGTCACGTGCATCGACGGCCACGCAAATAAATATCCACCGCAACGCAAAGTGTTTCTTATTGGGCACCAAAAGAAAACTGAAGAAGGCGGCCCGGACAACACACAACAAATCACACGCCAGGCAACGCTGAGATACATGCGAAAGGGCCAACGCGGGATGAGCAGCACAACCACTCGAGAGCTGCTGCGTGAACTCCACGGTAAACGAATCAGCCTCAACGCATGGGGCACTAATGACGGCGGGTGACGGCGCGAAGGCCAACGGTTCCGCAAGGCCGGGAATTGTGAGGACGGCGTTCAAACCCTCCCGGGATTCGTGTGCCAAGACACGCAAATAATCCGCCCCTCGGTGCAAATCGTCATCATAATCCTCATCGTTATTTTTGCCGTCATTTGTATTGTCACACTCAGAGTCGGTGAAGGAAGATGCTGCCATGATGATTGTGACATCACACTGAATGAAAGAACACAATGCCTCGAAGGGTGCCGAGTGCAGGCATACCATCAGGCAGCGACACGCCGCACTTCTGAAGAAGCCAATAAAAGAACTTAGAAAATGCCTTCATCCGTCATCGTAATCTCGTCCAGCGGGTGCGGCCTCTTCTGCTCGTTCGGCACCTCGTCCCTCTCCAAGACACCAGCTGCCGCTGCCGTAGACCACTCTCCTGCCGGAATTACTCCCACAGAGAGACAAGGAAGAGTGTGTGGATGTGTGCCAGGAGCACAGCGACTGTCATTGCCGGAGGAATCCAACGTGGCACCGTCCGTCACGCGTCAGCACACACCGAGCAACGCACGCACACGGCAGTGCAAAAACAGGGGGCAGAGAAGAATGACCCCAAGAGCAGGCAACACCTTCACGCATGGCGGGCATCGTGCAGCCGCGACAGCCGGCCTCCAGCACAATGCAAAAGGCGTCCCACACGCACCCATCCGATGTCACCGTGATTCCAACGGCAGGCACACACGCAGCGGACTCGCCTCGCCAGCACGGGACGCAAGCCAACGTCCCGCCGTCGTCAAGAGCATTCCTGCAGAGCACCGTGCAATCACTTATCTCTGTGTGTGATGGAGAAGCAGAAAAGGAGAGGAGCACAAGGAGGCACATCAGCACAGCAAGAGGCACAGCTGGACGGCAGCGATACATACGGTGCGGCCTCAACCTCAACAATCACACACGGTGGCAGCACACACCCATCGAATAAAAAAAGGAAAAACACGGCGGCAGGGTGTGGCTGTGTGTGTGGCGCTGCGGGTGTCTGCCCGCCCTGGCCGCAAACAAAACAAAACAAGAGGGAAGAAATGTGTGCGCCGCCCCACAGGCCCTCGTCGCACGCCCACACGTCACGGCTCCCGCAGCGCGCCGTTCGTCGCGGCCCCTCCTCATGCGTGCAGCAGGCGAGGCGCACAGGGCCGTCGTCATGAGCGTGCCGGTGGGTGTGCGAGTGGAGCAGTTGGGCGGGAAACACACGGCACCCCTCACAGGAAGAGTGCAGCAATAAACAATTAAAGAGGGAAGAGTAGAGAAGAAAAACGTCCATAGTGATTGCCCCCAAAAAGCAAAAAAGAGGGATGGGGGATGAAAGATTTAAAACACAAAAATTAGTAACAAAGAAAGACTAGCAAAAAATTTGAAGCAAACAGGAAAAAATTAAAAATATTACAATAAAAAACAAAACAAGAAGCCGAAGCGTGGGACGACCAGCGCACACACACTCTCATTGCTCCCGTAAAGCAAAACACACACACAGAGCGAGAGAGAGAGAGGTCGCCCACTTAATGCAATGAAAACAAAACAGAAACAGTTACGGTGCTCCGTCCATGCAGCCAGGCAGGACGGCAGCGGTGCGTGTCGTGCAAAAGAGAGCACCAACGGGCCTGCATGGGTGTGCATGCATATATACAATGGGCACATTATTGTGTGCCTCGTGGGGTGAGGTGAGGGCGAGAGTCCATGCAAGGGGACACACACACAGAGAGAGAGAGAAGGACGAGTGTGTGTGCGGGCGGTGCACGGCTCTCTCTCCCTCACTCTCACACGGCCACCACCGCAGCCGCACACGCAACAAGAAGAAGCAAAAGAGGGGAGGTGGTGTGGAAGACCGCGGTGCTGCCGTCACTGTCGCCAGTCGTCGCCGTTGTAGTTTTCATGACTGCGGCCGTCACTGGTGTTTCCTTCGGATTGGCATATTTATTTTCATTTTGTTTTCCCTCTGCTGTCCCTGCACCATCAGCTGCTGGATCATCGTCTCCAGTTGTTGGTGTGCTGTTGGGATTTGTTATATTCGATGCTCCCTCCGCAGCAGAAGATAAACTTCGCTGCTCTTCGCCGCCTGCTGAGATCACCTCTGTGGTGCCGGTAACAGCTTCTCCTTTCTTTCTCTCCTCCTCTTGCTTCTTATCATCCTCTCCGTCCTCCCTTCTATCATCCTCTTGCTCATCCGTTTCCTCTTCCTCTTCCACGTGTTTTTCCTCCTCTTCTTCATCTTCCTTCTTTTTACCTTCTGTATTTCGACCCTTGTTGTCCATCCCTGCATTTGGCGTTCCTGATTCTCCTCCTTTGGGTTGTTGTGCCGGTGGCGGGCTCGCTTCCGGTGATCCTGACCCCGTTGGTGCGGCTGCTTTTGGCGCTTCCGGTTTACCGTTTTTCACACCTCCTTCAGTGACACCGACGGTCACATTGTCGTTTGGAGTGTTATTACCGGACGGAGTACCCGGAGAACCTGGAGATGTTGCTTCAGAACATCCACCACCGCAGGCACCGCACCACAGCACGCAGAGGGCACACACCAGCAGCACACGGCCAGTCATCATCATCACGGCTGCACACACAGTCTAGGGAGGGACAAAGAGAGGAGGATGAGAAGAGCACACACACAACAGCAGCATGGAAAAGGAGGAGTAGCGTTTGCATGAGGGTTGTTGTCACGAGCATGGGGACGCGTGCACGCAGGAAGAACAGGCAACAATGAAACACCAGACAGCACGGCACACAACTCCACGGCATGTAGAACCCACCCGCAGCTGCCCCAAAATGGAAGGGAAAGAGGGCGCAACAGTACGGCAAGAACACAGTGATGCCGGTGCAGAAAAGGATCCCAAAAAGGCGTGAAAAAGAAACAAAAAACAGTCTTCCCCCACAGCGGCCACATCCAACAATCAAATAATAATAACAGAAACAAACACCACACACGGCAACTCACAGCGGCAGTGAATACCCTGTCGCCAATCTTCATGTCTGCACGCTATCGCACTCCTCGTGAGCCCATCGCTCCGCCGCCTTCTTCCTTCCCGCGGCTCCCCCGCACGAACAGCCACGGCACACAATCGGGTCCATCCACACCCGTCGCCACACCGCCCTCAACGACCCAACAGTCAAACGCCCAAAAACCGTTGCTGAAATCACACACCCGCAACAAAGCACGCGATGCAACATCGTCTCACGTGGACCCCGCCGTCAGAAGAACGTCATGTCAACCGTTTGGCCGGCACACGGTACAATCGATCAACAGAACAGAGAAGTAGGACAGGCACTCAATCAAGGACTCTCCACGCACACAGCCCTTTTGATGCCGCCGCTGCTGCCACGGGCACGGTACCCGAGCGGAAAATGACAAGCAGTAAAAAGGTCTCGCAAGAGAGAAGCAATCCACACGTCCATATGCAAAGCGCCGCTCAGGCTGCTGCAGATGCAGGGTCTGTGGGCAAAAATGCGCCTTACTGAATCCCGCCAGTTATGTCAGTCTCCCCTCGCACCAATGTAGAGCATAATGCACGGCGTGCGTCCACAGGCATCCACTCCCGGTGCCCTAGCAACGCTTCAGAACACACATAATGGAGAAGCTAAGTATCATTACACAATGCCAAAGCAGGTAAATAAAAATAGGGAAATCAAAACCACACAGATCCCTCGTACACGCACACAAACACCCCACAGTATCCTCCAGAAGAAGTCAAACAATTTCTTATCCCAACCCATAATACAGGCGTGGTGCCGCCACACCAGCGAACAACCGACAAAAGAGGGAGAGTGCATACAGCATGTCCATGGTACAAAGTATACAGACAAGCAGAGCTTATGTATATACTGATAGGAACATGCCAGTTGATATAGGCCTTTCTCTCTTGCACCCACTGCTGAGTGTTGGCACCGCGGCGGCAGCGGCAAGCAGAAGAAGCACCGGAAAGGGACAAGCAGCAGCCGCACTGTTACTGCCGTGGATCGGAGGCGGGGCGTCCTTCATGTCTGCCTCCCAACCCCCGCGCACCACCGCCGCTTCATCTTCCCTCGGCGGAGGGTCCACGGCGCCCTGCGCGTCATCAGCGGCATCAGGGATCCTGGGTCCCGTGACTGTGGCACCGCCACCGGCCTTGTCGTTGACGGCCTCATCTCCTAATGATTGTCCCACAACAGACGTCACACCATCGGCGGCCACATCGTCGATATCCGGAAGATCGCTCTTCTGCGCCTCCTGCGGCGCACCCGCGGTGTCGCTGGGCAAGAGCACTCCGTTGCCGTCGTGGCACCTGAGGCGACTTCCTTCTCCTCTGGCGACGGATGTTTCTGGGGAACAGCCGTGTCCACATCCTTAGGTGGTGTGCCGTGGTCGGTCTCAATGCTCCCCGCAACGGTGACGGATGCCCCTGGGAAGTCTTGTTCAGTAGATGCCGGTGAAACCGTCCTGCTCCACATGCTCTCTCCTCGCCGTCCCACGGAAACACTGGAAGTAGGCTACCGCTGGTGGCGGATATCGTGCACACCTGCGCGTGGTCACGGAAAATAGCTTTTCCCTCGTCGTAGGGCGGAGCGGCCCACGCAATCGTCGCCCCGTCCGTGCATGGAACACAACGGGCGTTACCCTCTTCAGTCACTCTCAGACGCACCCACATGCCGAGACACCTCAATGCCGCATGCATTGCAGCACCGAGATGTATGTCTCTTCCGGGTCCCTCACATCCGTCGTGTTGGTGGAAAGCGTGTCCAGACACCACGAAGAGGGTTTATCCCCAGGCACCGCAGACAAATATTCTCCCTTCTCAAATAACAGCCTCAACATCCCCCACATCCAGTGCGGGATCACTGATGGGGCAACTGTCCATCGGGCGTTTTGCTGACATTTCATGGATACTCCGTCTACACAGCAACCACTGGAATAACGATCCGACGCGCAGCATCTGGCAGAAACGCCCAATGCGCAGAGCATGTAGCAATGTTCACTCATGTTCGGTGCGGAGCACTTCCTCTGCAGCAGCCGGCGCCCCCAATCGGTGCCATCCACTCATCCCTCGCGTGGCGCCACGACCAGTGCGACTCCAGCGTCCTCCCGCTCCCATCGTCATCCTGCAGCTCCATGCCATCAATGTCGTCGCAGTCGTGGTGCTCCCCTGCAGACATCGCGGAAGTCGCCGAGTGCACCACCACCGACAGCGCTCTGCCACGCACACCGGCAACATGCCTCACCGTGCTGCGGCTGGCCATGTGCGGGTGGGTGAACCGAATGCAAACGCTGCCCGTGGCAAATGGGGGAACAATCAAAGGACCCTCCAGTGGCTGCACGAGCAGACGATCCGCATGCGGTTTGAAAGCAGCAGGAACAACTTCATCCTCAAGAATGATCCCGTGCGCAGAGGATACGTCACCCTCACACTCGCAATTGTCATTCAATGAATTCAGTGCGTAGTACCTCTCTAAGATCCAATGCTTCCCGGTATCGTCCAGGTCCCTTGTGGATACGTTGATGCGGATGGGCATCCATCGCTCCCAATGACGGTGTATGGCTGCAGCGCACTCATCGCTCAAAAAGGGTGCGTCCCTCACAACGACGCGGATCCAATTCGTGCTGTCGGCACGCATCACGTATTCAACAAATCGAGGATGCGTCAAAGTGACAGCAACGCATCCGCTGGCAATCGCACCATAAACATCATCACATGCAGCAGCACCAGCGTCTCAAACTAATGTGGGGTGTAGAGCAAGTAAGCCATTGATGTGGGTGTTAAGAAAATATTTCTTGGCTCGCTGAAGCAACAAGGACCGATTGCGTGGGAAGAAAGAAAGAACAGGGGAATACAAAAAAGAAAATTCAGCCATCCGCACTTTAAGAAGAAAACCAATCAATGAAAGTAAAATGAGAGCACCCAACCACAACAGAAGCAAAGATTCAAAACAAAAGAAAAAGAAAAAGCCGAAGCGTGGAACGACCAGCGCACACACACTCTCATTACTCCCGTAAAGCAAAACACACACACAGAGCGAGAGAGAGAGAGGTCGCCCACTCAATGCAATGAAAACAAAACAGAAACAGTTACGGTGCTCCGTCCATGCAGCCAGGCAGGACGGCAGCGGTGCGTGTCGTGCAAAAGAGAGCACCAACGGGCCTGCATGGGTGTGCATGCATATATACAATGGGCACATTATTGTGTGTGCCTCGTGGGGTGAGGTGAGGGCGAGAGTCCATGCAAGGGGACACTCACAAAGAGAGAGAAGGAAGAGTGTGTGTGCGGGCGGTGCATGGCTCTCCCACACTCACTCTCACGCGGCCACCACCGCAGCCGCAGCCGCACACGCGACAACAAGAAGAAGAAGAAGCAAAAGAGGGGAGGTGGTGTGGGAGACCGCGGTGCTGCCGTCACTGTCGCCAGTTGTCGTCGTGTCATTTGTTTTGGCGACGGTGATTGTTTCTGGTGTTTTTTGTGCAGTCTCACTGAATGTAGGAGCAACGTTGGTATTACCATCTTCGATTCCGTCTTGTGGTTCTTTGGTGTTAGGCCGTTGATCACTGTCGTCAACCTTGTCCTCCTTTTTCTGGGTTCCACCAATGCCGCTTTTAGATACAGATGATACTGCTGTTTCCGCTGGAAGACTTGTAGGTCCATCCTTCATCGAGTCTGGTGTGTCCGTGTCTTGTCTTTTTTGGTTTGGCTCACCATTTCCTGAAGGTGTTTCCGCTGCTTCAGGCGCCGTTTTACTGTGTGACGGTGACGTCGTGGTTGTCGTTTCTGTTGCATTCCGTGAGCCTGTTGATGCTGTTGGGTTTGTTTCTCCTGCGGAAGCGGCTATTGCTGGTGGCCGCTCCGCTGGTGATACTGCCGTAGGAAGTTCTTGTGGCGCCGGTGATAGATTTGCTGGTGGTGGTGAAGGTTCTGTTGGTTGTGATACTTCTTTGATTCTTGGTTCTAGCAGTGCTGGGGGGTCGCTTTTATTAGGGGACAACCCGTTACTGCGGCCGGTACTGTCTTTTCCCCCGTCCGCAATTTCACCGCCACCAACATTAGTAAGAACTTCAGTTTGTTTTTTTTTGGTATCGGACAACTGTAATTGTGCATCAGAATCAAGTGTTACTGTTCCATTCGCATCAGGCGGCAATGCATCTTGAGGCCCTGATTCTGAGTGATCCTGTTTTCCTATGGGGTCCACTTCCTTTTGGAGTACATGTTCCTCAGGCAGATTTGGATCCAATTCCTGATCGGTATCGAGAGATGATGATTCTTCATCAGAAGTAGAATCCAAAGGTTCACTTTCACTTCCATGAGGACTATCAGCCTTTGAACCTCCACTGCCACCATTACTCCCACCTGCGGGAGGAGATTGACCGACAGCTCCACCTCCACGTTCGCCACGAGTTCCGGGATGACCAGAAACAACATCATCATCCTCAGCGTAGCCACCGCCGGCACCGCACCACAGCACGCAGAGGGCACACACCAGCAGCACACGGCCAGTCATCATCATCGCCATCACTCCTGTCACTTGCGTGCAGCCTTCAGCACAAACTAACAACACGTCAACGCAGAGTGAAAGCAAAAAGATAGACAGAGCCGCTACACCACACAGTCACAAAAAATGGCAGCACCCAGAATCAGCAGCGCACACCACGAGATAAATGAAATCAGTACAATTGCAGAACCTTCAAACAGCCCTGCAAACCAGAAGTTTAAAAGCAAGCAATAAAAAACAAAAACAGTAATTAAAAAAGAAAAGAAAACTATACTCAGGACTCTCCAGTGCGCGTGCATATGAGTGTGTCCGCGATGCGTTCAACGTGGTGGATGTGGAAGGCAACGCGGAGCACACAGCACGGCAGCAGAAGCAAACAAAGCAAAACAATCATAATTACTCTTACTTTATACATCGGACCACAGTAGACGTACACATGTCCCCGTGGCTGAGTGCTGGCACGCACAGCCCGTACACACCTCTTCAGCCCATAGTGGTGTACGCCAGCGCGCATACGGCGAGCAGCAGCGGGGCACACACCCACGCAGAGCTGCCGAGGCTGCCGTCGACTTCGCGAAGACGTGACGGTGCGCGGGTGGTCGACACAGCCGGCGCCTCTGTAGTCGTAGTGCTTGGTGCCACTGTTGTGGTGGTGGTTGTCGTGGTTGGTGCCTTTGTGGTAGTCGTCGTCGTATCTGGTGTCTTTAACACAACAGAGCTCCCTTGTGTCTTTCGCAGGGTAGGGTCCTCACTTCCTGATCCTTCGTCAACACTTGTTTCACCTTCCGGGTTCGCAACGGTCTCCGTCTCTGAATCCTGTTCCTCGTCAGACTGATCTTGCACATGTGACTGAGAGGACGACAAATCCGTATTTTTATTCAGTCCACCAGTCGCTCTCACACACACACGGACGGGCAGCAGCACAGGACGAGCACCAACAGGGCGCACAGCAGACGGCACGTCGTCATCATCGTGAGTGTGGTCGTTCAGTGGTGTGGAGCTGATCTGCACAGTGAGGGGCATGGAGAGCAACAGGGGAGACGAGAGGTGCGGCGGACACACACAGAGGGCACACCACACGAGGAGAGGGCAGCAGCCAGGCATGCACCGTACGCCGCACACCACGCACGACACACACTCCAATCCACGGCAGCACGCACACACAGCCCTGCCGCACCACCAACACACAGATGGAGGAGGGAGAAGCAAACAGGAGCGGCACACAAGGCTCCACCGCATGCACATACGGCGAGAGCGGTCCGTCGTGCCTGCAGCCCTCACGAAGGATACGAACACACACAAGAGAAGGTGCAGCGCACACAGCAGCACAAAAGCAAAGTAACAATTAAAAAAAGGAATATCCCCGCACACCACGTGGATTGTTGGTCCGCAGGAAGTGCAGCCAACATTTAGCAAAAAGCAAATTGTTATCCTGTTTTTGTTGTATGCTGCTACAATAACAAGTGAGTAGCGCAAGGGCCGTCCGTACAAAAGTGGCAATTATTCCGTCTCATGCGGGTCGTCGTGCGGGCTGGGGCAGTCCATATTCTCAATGACGGGGGTATTACCGCGGTGGGTGAAGCGGAGTCTCCCGTGGTCCGTCGGGGGATCAGCAGCCCGTGGCGTCCGTGATGAGGCGGTGGCGGAAGTGCCTGGTCCATCTCGAGTACCCGCGTTTGTGCTTCCTGCGTGTCTTGCCTGCTGGCATGCCTGGCGACTTCGGTGCCAACCTGCGCGCGAGGCGCCTGTTAAAAAGACGGTGAAACAATCGCGGCATCCGCATGGGAGGCTCTCTCAAACCATTGGAACGCCAGGCCGAGCACGTCGGGCATGTGCCCTCATACTGTGGATGAACGACCGCACTCTGCCGCAGATCGGGCAGGAGGACGTCAATCCGCCGCTCGCTGGTCGACAAGGAGTTGCGGTGCTCACGTCGGGAAGAAGCTCCGGCAGAGACGGGCCATTCTCCTCAGTGTGAGAGAGCGGCGCCACTGACACAGAGGGTCGCTTGTGATCCGCAGGGCGCATGCCGGTCTGCCGAAGAGAGGGCAGGTGTCGCATCGCGCCTGCGCGCGGTGCCGCCACTCGGGGCACGATTTCCGGGCCAACACCAGGAATGGAGTCCTCGCCACACCGACAGGCGCCTGTCACGCGATGTGCGCGCCTTCCTTTTCCTCCTGGGCATTCTTTTGGTTCCGTCGCCGGACTGCAGTGAGGAAGCCCATGTGCCAGGCAGTGACGCAGTCCTGCGGAAGAGATTTTGCCATGACGGCGTCAGCGTCCGCTGTCACGCTGCGTGGGATCCCGCAGTGTCATGGGGAAAATGTGGAGAAAACTGCGCGACCTCGATCCTCCAGAGGAAGCGGCACGGTGCAAATCTCTTGGGCGAGGTCGTCGTGGACCGCCAGCGGGTCAAGGCATAGCGCCTCCATCGCCGAGAGGGAGTCTCTGTGGCAGCAGAGACTCGTGTGTGCGATTGAGATGCCGCTGCCAGGCGGAGAACTGGGAAGTGTCTGTGGCCATGCTCAGTGACAGGACACTCCGCTCGGCAGGAGCATGCAAGGCTGCCAGCGGCTGCGCGGTGAGGCCCACAGGGAGCGCGGCTGTCCGGGGAGTCGAGTAGCAGCGCGGCGGATCCAGACGCACGGTCCCAGAGAGGCGTACGCCGCTTCAACGGCCGATCGTCTGACACCGTCCAGGGCGTCCCTGGCGTGCCGTGGCTGGAAGACGCCCAAACCCGCTGCGGCTCCCATTACCCCAGACAACGATGCGGTGCTCAGCATTTGGGGCGCGGATGCGGTGCGGGGAGTTCCTCATGTGGCGGCGGACGCGTTGCAGTCCGTTGAGGACGGCATCTCCCGGCAGAGAAATAGTCGTCGCTGCCTTCCAATGTATTGACGACGGCATGGCTTCCAAGCAGATTGCGCCACGCACGTCCTCCATATACTGGGGACGCGTGAGGCGTTCGTGCTGTGTGGGTGCGCGGAATCCAATGATCCTCCGCAGCGGTGCTGGACTGGCGGCCAGGTGGGCAGAAGCATCCTTCGATGATGCGCGTGGGCCGAGCGATGCTGTGCAGCTGCCGCCGTGCCGCCCTCCCAGGCTGTGGAGGTGAGTGAGAGCTGGACACGGTGCGACTGCCTCGCCGCCGTGGTGCAACGCACTGTGGACGCATCCGACGAGGCAGGATCACATGGTGTGCTGGGACGCACCAGCCTCTGCGCCCAGCCGCGGCTGACAGCGGCGTGGACGATCTACTTTGGTGTCTGTGTGAAGAATTTTCCCGTTCTTTACATTGTGTTACGGGCAGATGGTGCGTTGGCGTTTTTTGATTTGGTAGGAGACTTGCGTTTCCGAAGAAGCCGTTGCAAGTGTTCAGCGTTGTTGTGAATAACAGATGTGCGCCTGTCCCCGTGAAGGCGACAACAACGGCCCCGGATGACAGCAGGAGGCACTGTGGCTTTATTTGGAAGAGTGTTTGAATTGCGTTTGTTGGGTCTTTTGTGGGAAAGGTGGGAGGTTGATGGCATTAGGACTGAATTCATTTGAGTGGCTGCGCTCCGTTGACTTGCGGCCAGTCGCGGCACTCTTTTGGGGTTTGGCTGCCCGTCTCTTTTGTTTACTTCCCACCGCAGCACGTGGATAACACTGATCCGAGGAACATTTGTTTGACGGCGTGTGAGCTGCTGCCGTGCGTGGTGCATGGACTATGTGATTGTGTGGGGAGTTGCGTTGGAGTGACGAATACTTCTGTTTGGCGTGTCTCGATGTGTCGGAATGGTGTTTGGATGACATGTGGAGGGTGTTGTTTGTGGTTTGTGTGTCTTCTCTGGTGGAGCCGACACGTGTGCGGGGATTGTGGCATTGCTGGCTGACAGTTCCACGTCACTTTTCAGCATTCCTGGATGTGCTGAGGAACGATGGCTGGCGACCAGCGTGTTGTTGCTGCCGGTGGGAATAAGTGCATCGGGAATGGGCCGTTTTCTCTTTCCGTGCTGGAGCCGATGGACTGGCACGAGGGCACCGGCTGCAGGCTGCCTGCCAGCACGTGTGAGCAGCGGATCCATGCACACACCGACGCTCATCGCAAGAGCGTGTGCGATCACGGTGGCCTTTTGTGGCGTGCTTTTATGGGCGTCAGCCCACCGAAGAATGTGTGAAGCAAACGGCTGACTGCACACGAGGAGAATGAGTGCGTGCACTGTGCCGTGTTTCAGCGTCGATGGCAGAGCGACAGGAAGCCCGTGCTGGCAACTGAGACGTTTGCGTCGCGAGGGATGTCGGTGTTGATTTTGGATCGTCGAGGGTGAAGTCATTTTGCTCTGCCCGTGTGTGTGGCCGCTCCGGCAGAGGGCGGAGACAAAAGGGAGGGATGCAGGCGCTGCGTGTGTGTGTGTGCAGGTGCCATGCAACAACGTCACAACAAACATGCTGCGACTCGGTGACCCTCACATCGCTGTGGTCCTCACTCACAGCCCAGGCACGGCGCACACCGATGCACTTAGTGGACGGAGTGAGGCATCTTTCGAGGCGCAGCAGGAAGCAGGATGTGTTGACGCAGCCACGACGTGCATGGAGCGTCACGATGGCACAGTCAGCTGCTTCTGGTGGAATAATTGCTTCTCGGAGGCAACACAGAGAGAGAGAGAGCTGCTCCTGCTGCTGGCGTCGTTGCTGCCTTTTGTGGCCTCCCATGCCGATTATTGTCTGTCCGCTGATCATGGGTGTGCCTCCACTAGTGACGTCGTCTGCAGGCATTTCGCAGCACCAGTGAAACACACATCACGTCGCATGCTTTGGCTGTGGATGTGGTGTCGTGCATGCAGCCGGTATTATTTTGTCCAACTCCTTTTCACTGCATTGCGACAAATAGATGCGTCGCCGCCCAAGCCATTCACTGCAGCTTCGTGTGTTGTGCTGCCAGCACAAGACTCTCCTGTTGTCTGGCGCCTGGCTGACGGTCAAACACCACAGCGTTGGGACATGCAGGGATGTGGACTGCCGCTCACGGTGTTGGGCACCGCTGTTTGGATGCGGCGGCCACACGAGCGGATGTATTGTGGCACAATCAAATGCGTGAAGTACGCGGAATCACAGCGGCTGCAGTAATATCAGCGGTGTGGCACCACGGAGTATGTGAGGGGGTGATGCATGATGAATCACAGTGGGCGGCATGCGAGGGAAGTGCACCTCGATGGAGCGTCGCCCCGCCCTCAGCCTGCAGGAGAATGTAGACCCACAAAATATATGGACGAGACACCACCCAACACACATGCCCTTCCATGCACCAATAAATAGGAGCGAAGGTGCGTTCTGGTGCGTGGGAGTCCACTCACATATTATTCATTTCCACCGCAATAAACGGTGAGGAATCGGGTGCCACAGCAACGAAAGGAAAAACAAACATCTATTGCAGCACTTTACCAGCGAAAGGCAGGAACAACACAAACCGAATTCTTGGCTGCATCAACACAAGAAACATTCACAGGAGGGAAAAAAAAAAAATGTGCATCCTGCAGTAATCCTCAGCACACGATCCAGGCATGAGGGTTTGCCCTCTGCAAAAAAACAAAACAAAAAAGAAACGCATGCAGACATCTGCCAACATCCAAACAGAAACACAAATAAACGGTTGCTTGCCTCATTCCATTCCTTACGGTTACATTTTAGCATGCGGCTGCTGCGGTAGTGGCCGGGCCTGCATGAAGTGGTGTGCACTGAATATGAACGAAGGTCAAACACAACTGAACCGTTTTTGTGATGAATGTTGGCTGCACTTCCCGTGGACCAACAATCCACGTGGTGCGTGGGGATCTCCCCCTTTTTTATTGTTACTTTGCTTTTGTGTTGCTGTGTGCGCTGCGCCTCCTCTTGTGTGTGTGCGTACCCTCCGTGAGGGTGCCGACACGACGGACCGCTCTCGCCGTGTGTGCATGCGGTGGAGCCCTGTGTGCCGCTCCTTTTTGCTTCTCCCTCTTCCATTTGTGTGTTAGTGCTGCGGCAGGGCTGTGTGTGTGTGTGTTGCCGTGGATTGGAGTGTGTGTCGTGCGTGGTGTGCGGCGTACGGTGCATGCCTGGCTGCTGCCCTCTCCTCATGTGGTGTGTCCTCTGTGTGTGTCTGCCGCACCTCTCGTCTCCCCTGTTGCTCTCCATGTCCCTCACTGTGCAGATCAGCTCCACACCACTGAACGACCACACTCACGATGATGATGAAGTGCCGTCTGCTGTGCGCCCTGTTGGTGCTCGTCCTGTGCTGCTGCCCGTCCGTGTGCGCCGCAGACGTGACCCTGAATGAACCTCAAATTGAGGGGAACGGCGCCAGTCTGCCGTCCGCTACATCTGAAACTAACCCTAAGACGCAAAATCCTGCCGACACCAGTCCATTGCCCTCTCCAAAGGCAAACACTAGTCTAGATCCGGAGAATGAAGTTGATGCGAGGGGAAAGGACACCATTTCTTCGTCCGCTGCGGCAGAGGTAGCACTTCGAAGTGCAGATGAGTCAGGGTCACTGAACCAGGAGTCCGGTACGGTGCAGGGAAACACCGCCAGTTCATTTTCCCCTGCACCACCCACTGAGCCTAGCAAGAGGACTGGGACTGATCCGGAGGATAAAGATAATTCTAAAAAGATCGTGACGCCTGAGGATATCTCCGAGACGACCACCACAACCAATACAACAAAATCACCAACTACTACCACGACCACCACCACTGCGCCAGAGGCACCAAGCACTACGACCACCCACACACCGTCACGTCTTCGCGAAATCGACGGCAGCCTCAGCAGCTCTGCATGGGTGTGTGCCCCGCTGGTGCTTGCCGTATGCGCGCTGGCGTACACCGCTGTGGGCTGAAGAGGTGTGTGCGGGCTGTGCGTTCCAGCACTCAGCCACGGGGACATGTGCGCGTCTACTGTGGTCCGATGTATAAAGTAAGAGTAATTATGATGTTTGTGTTTTGCTTTGTTTGCTTCCGCTGCCGTGGTGTGTGCTCCGCGTTGTGGCTTCCTGTATCCGTCACGCTGAACGCATCGCGGGCACACTCATATGCATGCGCACTTGGGCTCATGTTTTTTTTAATTCTTGTTTATTATTGCTTTTTAAAATTCTGGTTTGCAGTGCGGTGTGCGAGTTCTGCAATCGTACTGACTCCAACTGTCTCGTGGTGTGTGCACCGCTGCTGATGTGTTGAAATTTGTTACTGTGCGGTGGACGGTGCTTGGCTGTGTGACTTGGCACTCTCCTTTTTCCTTTCACTCTGCGTTGACATGTTGTTGGTTTGTGCTGAAGGCTGCACGCAAGTGACGGGAGTGATGGCGATGATGATGGCTGGCCGTGTGCTGCTGGTGTGTGCCCTCTGCGTGCTGTGGTGCGGTGCTGCAATGGTGATGGCGGAGGCCAATGTCGATAAAGGTACCGAAATGAGAAAAGATGAAAAATTAGACAGTTCTCAGCTTGTTGCTGGTATTGTTGGTGCTGAACAACATGTAACGCAGGATTCAGTCAAGGAAGGCTCCGAAAACGGTAATAAGTTTTTGAGTGCACAAACAGGAAATGGCATCAGCCAGGATAATGGTGTGATCATGGTATCACCAGCAAGCACAGTGAGAGGGGAAGAAGAAGAAGAAGAAATTGAGGAACTCAAAAGTTCAATTGAAAGCGAAGAAAAATCCCAATTAACATTCCCGCAAGAAGGAGTACCACCACCATCAGAACCATTAGCAACGACACTGAATGGAAACCCAGGAGGAACTTTAAATACAACACCGGCGAAAGGACAGTCCAGCTCTGATGACGGATCCGCCCAGGAAGAAGGACTCAAATTACCAACAAGAAAAGCACCTGCAGCAGCGGCAGAAGCAACGACACAAGCAAAAGATGAAAACCCCTCCTTTGCAGATGACCCTTCAGTGCAACATGTAGAAGCATCTCAACACGACATGGAGTCAAGAAGTGCCTCACGAAAAGAAGGAACCATCCCCACCACAGTCACGAAAACAGACGGACCAACAGAAGTTAACGCCGAATCAACTCCAACATCACCCTCAGCTTCCAAAAGTGCCATTACAAATGACGCTGACAAAAGCCATGAAGAAGGCATTCCAAAAAATGATCAAGCAGCTGATGGTGAAGCGAAGAAAGAAGAACAACAAGATGAAAATAAAGAAGAAAATACAAATAAAACAGCAAATGCCGAAGCCGCAGCTATAACAAATGATACTGCGACTATTGGCGACAGTGACGGCAGCACCGCGGTCTCCCACACCACCTCCCCTTTTTTGCTTCTTCTTCTTCTTGTTGTCGCGTGTGCGGCTGCGGTGGTGGCCGCGTGAGAGTGAGTGTGAGAAAGCCACGCACCGCCCGCACACACACTCTTCCTTCTCTCTCTGTGTGTGTGTCCCCTTGCATGGACTCTCGCCCTCACCTCACCCCACGAGGCACACACAATAATGTGCCCATTGTATATATGCATGCACACCCATGCAGGCCCGTTGGTGCTCTCTTTTGCACGACACGCACCGCTGCCGTCCTGCCTGGCTGCATGGGCGGAGCACCGTAACTGTTTCTGTTTTGTTTTTATTGCATTGAGTGGGCGACCTCTCTCTCTCTCCCTCTGTGTGTGTGTTTTGCTTTACGGGAGTAATGAGAATGTGTGTGCGCTGGTCGTCCCACGCTTCGGCTTTTTGTTTTGTTTTCCTTTTTGATTTTGTGGTTGAGTGCACCCATTCCGCGGCTGCGTGTGTGTGTGTGTGTGATGATATGAGTAATTTGCGTGTGTGCTATCTGCCTCTCTCTGCCGTTGCTTTCTTCAGACTCTCTTGTGGCGCACAGCTGCTCTGCAAGTATAGGCGATGCCAAACACACAAGCAGATGCACACACAAATGCCGTGTTTAAAACGCTGAGAATGCACACACGCACAGGATTGTGGCTGCGGCGGTTGTTCCTTGCGAGAAGGGAGTACGGGAGTATGCGATTTGCTTCGTTGACATGTTGCTGTTGTTATGTTTGCGGCGCGCAGCCAGTGAGTGATGTGGCAGTGGGGGTGCCTGGGATGAGTGCGGATTGATTCCCGCTTTGCAGCTGTAACTGCGGACGTTTCTTTCCCACTGTGGATCTGTTGATGAGGTATTCTCCGGTTGTGCGGGTGACGTGCGAGTGCTCTGGAGGAGACAGCTGTAAAAGGGCTGGCGGCAGCACGTCGGTGCTGCGAAGGGCGGCTGTGTTTTTTTTATCCTGCTGGTTTTTCTTTTTGTAAGGGCGTTGTTCAGTGTGTGCTGACGCGTGACGAATAACGACGTGCCAGGCGTGACCCCTGCTGCTGGTGGCGGCAGTCCCTGTGTGTTCCCGGTGCACTGTTCATCCATCTCCTGTTCCGTGTTTCTGTGTGCGTGAGTTGTTGTTGTTGGGAATGACTGCGGTGCGGATGATGATGCCACTCACTGTGCATGGGTGACGGTGTTCATTGTTGTACCTCTTTTTATTTTTCTTTTTCCTTTATTTCTTTCTCACACACTCAGGCTAGGAAAGCAAACAAGCGCTAATCGCTACTGTGAAATTCGAAGGCACTGAAAGGACCAACAGCACACACACCGCCCACACACACATATTTGTATGCTCTCACGTGCTGCTGTGAAGGCACCCTGCACACACAACCGTCGCCGCGTGACCGGATCCCGCGGAAGGAGGAGGGAAGGAGGAGAGAGCGAGCCGCAGAGGCCCAACATGTCCCGGCGTCTGTTTACTTCTGCAGTGCTGCTCCTCGTCGTGATGATGTGCTGCGGCACTGGTGGGGCTGCATCCAGTCGGGACGTGCCGTCAGCTTCGGGATCTTCAAAGGAGGAACGTTATGTTTGGAGAGACGTGAAAGGAGGAGAAAAAGTGGGTTTGCTCCGTGTTCCCAGTCTTGTTGAGATGAATGGTGTCGTGTTTGCCGTTGCCGAGGCGCAGTGCACGGAAGCCGGCAAGAACGTTTTTACTGGGATTGCCTCGGAGTTCCTGGTATTGGCTGATCAAAAAAACCCAAAAGAGTTGGACACAACTGCAGTAACGACACAAGTGCTGGAGGAATGTTTTTCCGAAGAAGAGAATTGTGCCTCACAAGAAGCGGATCAGGTAGTCTCCCAAGGAGTGAGGAGGGTAAATGTGAGCCGACCAACAACAGTCGTGCAGGGAAGTGATATTTACATGCTTGTTGGGAAATATAGCCGTGAAGATGCTGCCGGATGTCAGGGTGGGGCTGACGCGGCTCCATGGGGACTTTTGCTGGTGAAAGGGCACGTCAGTGGTACTGAAGGAGGCAAAAACATACACTGGAACGATACTCACGCTATCCCGTGCACTTTTTTAAGCCAACAACACGAATCTTTGATGCGTCTAATTGGCAGCGGTGGATTGGGGGTTAAGATGAATGACGGTACGCTTGTGTTCCCAATGGAGACACGAAGGAGAAGAATGGAAAGACCTTTTCGCTGATTTTATAGTCGAAGAATAATAATACATGGACGCTGTCGAATTGGATGTCTGCCGATGGCTGCAGTGATCCCTCCGTCGTGGAGTGGAAGGACAAAAAACTCATCATGATGACTGCGTGTGATGATGGCCGCCGCAGGGTGTACGAGTCCGCTGACAAGGGGGATTCGTGGACGGAGGCACTCGGTACACTCTCGCGCGTGTGGGGCAACAAAAAGGGCGGAAGTAAGAAGGTCGTTGGAAGCGGGTTCATCACAGCGAAGATTGAGGACAGGGACGTGATGCTCGTTACTCTGCCGGTGTATGCTAATAAGGCTGATAAAGAAGTAAATGTAAAGGGCAGACTCCATCTTTGGCTGACGGACAATACGCACATTGTTGATATTGGGCCGGTATCTGTGGAAGGAGACGATGAGGTTGCCGCCAGCTCCCTGTTGTACAAAAGTGCTGAAAGTGAAGATAAGAAGGAAGAGTTGATTGCACTGTACGAGAAGAAGGGCGGTGAGAAGTCACTCGGTATGGTCTCTGTGCGTCTGACTGAGCAGTTGAAGCGGGTGAAGGAGGTGCTGGCGACCTGGAAGGATGTAGACAGCCGTGTCTCCCAGCTGTGCATCAATTCACTTGCTCAGAAGGCTCCCTTAGCTGACACTGCCTGCAGCGCTGCCATGCCGACAGCTGGGCTGGTTGGCTTTTTGTCCGGCAGCTTCTCTGATAAGACATGGAGGGACGAGTACCTTGGGGTGAACGCCACAGTAAAGGACGGTGCAGCAGGGGCAATATTGCATGGCGGCGGCGTGAAGTTCACAGGGCGTGGTGCGTGGGCGGAGTGGCCCGTTGGCGAGCAGGGGGAGAATCAGCTGTACCACTTTGCGAACTACAACTTCACTCTTGTGGCGACGGTGTCCATCGACAAGGTGCCGGAGGAGGGAGATAACACTATTCCTTTGATGGGTGTGAAGATGAAGGGTGAACAAGGGAAATTTTTTGGGTTGTCGTACGAGAAAGAAAGGAAGTGGATGTTACTGTGCGGTGACGGAACAACTAATTCTGGGGAACTCAGCAGCACCGGGGAACCGGGGACAAAACGCCACGTGGTAATTTTGCAACGGAACGGCAACCAGAGCACCGCGTACGTCGATGGTCAGCGTGTGTGTGTGGGTGCATCGTAACTTGGAAAATGCAGAATCGAAAGGGATCTCACACTTCTACATTGGAGGGGATGGAGAAAACGCAGAGGACAAAGAAAGCCGAGAAGATGTGTCTGTGACGGTGACTAACGTCCTGCTGTACAACCGCCCGTTGAGTGACAATGAGATCGCCGCCTTCAATCCGAATAAAGTCACCATTCAACAGTTGAAGGATAAGTCGTCGGAGCCTTCACCAGTTTCTTCTGATTCCTTTAATCCTAACGCCTCTCCGGTTACCGCAGCTGCTCAGCAAACCGGAACTTCGTCAACTCCCGACGGAACACATCCGACGGAACAGAGACAGTCGATGGGGAGCAGTAATGCGGGCAGTGGCGGTGCATCCACAACAGCAGTGTCCACTATAACTACTCCTGCAGCAGGAGAGGAGCCCGTAGTGCAGGTGGCGTCAGGATCATCTTCTGATGGACATAAAAATGTGGGTGGCGGTTCTTTTTCTGATGGCAACCCAACGGTGGAGACAAGAGAAGGAGGAACGAATGGGCAGGAGGAGGAGGTTAGTACACAGATCAGGGAAGTGAATGCCACGGCACTCAACAGCAGCCTCGGAAATGTGTCGCAAGGAAATAACAGTGATGCCGGCACCATGCGTGGGAGCGGACTGCTGCCATCGCTGCTTCTGCTTCTGTTGGGACTGTGGGGCCTTGCGGCTCTGTGAGGAGTGATTGGATGCCGCGTGGTACACCTGCGACCTTCCGAGCACAGAAATACTATTCCCATAGGAACTAACTTTTTCCTTAAGATAATCTTCCTTGTTTTTGCTTTCTGTTTGTAATTCATAATTTTTTTTTGCGTGTTGCGCGTGTGTGTCCTTTAAAAAAAAAATTTTTTTCTGTTTTCTGTTGTTGTTGCTCTTTTAAATTCCTCATACCTACAACAGTTTTTTTGCTTTTGGGGGCAATCACTATGGACGTTTTTCTTTTCTACTCTTCCCTCTTTAATTGTTTGTTGCTGCACTCTTCCTGCGAGGGGTGCCGTGTGTTTCCGCCCAACTGCTCCACTCGCACACCCACCGACACGCTCATGACGACGGCCCTGTGCGCCTCGCCTGCTGCACGCATGAGGCGGGGCCGCGACGAACGGCGCGCTGAGGGAGCCGTGACGTGTGGGCGTGCGACGAGGGCCTGTGGGGCGGCGCACACATTTCTTTCCCTCTTGTTTTTTTTTTTTTTTTTGCGGCCAGGGCGGGCAGACACCCGCAGCGCCACACACACAGCCACACCCTGCCGCCGTGTTTTTCTTTTGGCTTCTTTTTTTTATTAGATGGGTGTGCTGCCACCGTGCGTGATTGTTGAGGTTGGGCCGTGCCGCATGTATCGCTGCCGTCCAGCTGCCATCCAGCTGTGCCTACCTGTGCTCCTCTTCTTCTCTGCTCCTCCATCACACACAGAGATAAGTGATTGCACAGTGCTCTGCAGGAATTCTCTTGGCGACGGCGGGACGTTGGCTTGCATCCCGTGCCGAGATGGCGAGGCCACTGCGTGTGTGCCTGCCGTTGGAATCACGGTGACATCGGATGGGTGCGTGTGGGACGCCTTCTTTTCATTCCGCTGGGTGGCGGCTGACGCGGCTGCACGATGCTCGCCATGCGTGAAGGTGCTGCCTGCTCTTGGGGTCATTCTTCTCTGCCCCCTGTTTTTGTTTTGCCGTGTGCGTGCGTTGCTCGGTGTGTGCTGACGCGTGACGGACGGTGCCACGTTGGATTCCTCCGGCAATGGCAGTTGCTGTGCTCTCGGCACGCATCCACACACTCTTCCTTGTCTCTCTGTGGGAGTGATTGCGGCAGCAGAGTGGTCTACGGCAGCGGCAGCTGGTGTCTTGGAGAGGGACGAGGTGCCGAACGAGCAGAAGAGGCCGCACCCGCTGGACGAGATTACGATGACGGATGAAGGCATTTTCTAAGTTCTTTTATTGGCTTCTTCAGAAGCGCGGCGTGTCGCTGCCCGACTGGATGCCTGCACTCGGCACCCTTCGAGGCATTGTGTTCTTTCATTCAGTGTGATGTCACAATCATCATGGCAGCATCTTCCTTCACCGACTCTGAGTGTGACAATACAAATGACGGCAAAAATAACGATGAGGATGATGACGATTTGCACCGGGGGGCGGATTATTTGCGTGTCTTTGTACACGAATCCCGGGAGGGTTTGAACGCCGTCCTCACAATTCCCGGCCTTGCGGAACCGTTGGCCTTCGCGCCGTCACCCGCCGTCATTAGTGCCCCATGCGTTGAGGCTGATTCGTTTACCGTGGAGTTCACGCAGCAGCTCTCGAGTGGTTGTGCTGCTCATCCCGCGTTGGCCCTTTCGCATGTATTTCAGCGTTGCCTGGCGTGTGATTTGTTGTGTGTTGTCCGGGCCGCCTTCTTCAGTTTTCTTTTGGTGCCCAATAAGAAACACTTTGCGTTGCGGTGGATATTTATTTGCGTGGCCGTCGATGCACGTGACGATGCTCAACGGGTGTGTCTTTTGTTTGGCGGGCACGAGGGAGACTTCGGTGTGTGTCGACACCACCGTGAAAGTCTTCGTTGACGGATCGGGGCGAAACTAAGGGAGGTCTGTCCGCTACATCTCTCAAGGCAGCTGCGGGGCACTCCGAACGCACAGAGTGAATGGATGGATGCCACGCAGCTGGGGAGACCAGTTGTCTTCTCCGCTCTTCGTTGCCGGGGGATAGGGAATCCACAGCGCCAATGCCAGCTGCATTTTACTGCCGGGTATCGACTGTGCTGAAGTTGCCCGTCTAATGTGAATCGCAGCGTCAGTGCAGGAAGACACTTTCACGCATTACGAGTAGTTGCTCCAGGCTCGAGCTCATCAATATTAACAGCGGGGAGCAATGCATTTTGGTGGCCGGTGACGTTCAGGCGAGTGTGTTTCACTTCACCCGCCTCGTATTTGTGGGGGACACTGCGCATCGACCCTCCCCAACAGTCCCATCACCTTCATTTTCCCCCGCCGCTCGCTGCCATCTGCTGACGGCGCAGTTGTTTGGCTCCGCCAATAATGCGCTCGTGAAACGTCATCTCCGCACACTGCAGGATTATTGTTTTTGTTTTTGGCGATGCAAGAACTCCAGGGCACCGCAACTGTGTGCAGCACAAACTAATCTCCGCAGTGGACCCTATTTTTCTGCGGTGTCGCCATCGCGATCCCTTCATTGTGTACTTGTTGCAATTTTGTGGGGTTGGGCCAGTGCAGCCGTTGGATGTCCGGCTCGCTTTTGGTTTGGTCGCTTTGGGTCTCAGGGAGAACAATTTCAAGTCGTTTCACGATCAGGATAGTGGGAACACTGCTGTGAGCAACTCTGCGGAGTATTATGGGCTGGTGGAGGAGGAGAGAGGCGACGGGGGAAGAATTGGTGGCAGCAGTCGGCGTGTCTCTTTTTCCAGGGAGATGGAGACGCGTGGAGCAGAAACAGCATCACTCCTGCCAACGACAATTCGACGCTTTGTGCGGGCGATGGAGGGTGCAACAGACATGCCTGTTGCCTGCACTCTTCGTGTGACCGACGGATCGCGGCTTGTGGATGACCGCTTTTCAACAAAAATGCCGGAGGAACGGTGTACGCTAGGTGGATCCGAGACGACAGGCCTCAGGCCGGTTGACGACGTTGTGAGGGATGCAGTGCTGCCGTGGTGTTTTTATTTTGTGTCTTCTTGCAACTTTGTTCCTGCCGTGGAGGAGTTGATGGCATGTGTTGCGGGTGTGGCGTCGGCGGAGTCATCCACACTTTGTTTTAGAAGCATTACTTTGAGTCGTGCCAGCCACGCTGTGTTTTCCTTTTCTTGCTGGGAGTCTTGTGGGTGTGCATGAGCCCTTTTAGGAGGCCGGCTAAATTAATGAATGGTATATATGTACCCCGATGAAACGAACATACACTTCTTTACGACACTTTTCTACCGCATGATTTTTGTGAGGGCCACGAATTTAAGGGCATCAGGGAACCGATAGCGGCCGGATTTATTTTTATTTTTTAATTTTACCGTCTCACCCAACCCCTTTTTTGATTTCCCACCACGCGGCGGGGTCTTGTGGCTGCAGCACCCCAAAGGCCTGCCACCTCGTAAGCAGCAAATAAATAAATAAATATATGCATCCTATCCGAATAGAGTGAGCGGGCCACGATTGTGGCTAAAGAATGTATACGTATATATAAGCATACACTTGCCTGGTGTTGAGCCTTGAGGGTGGGGTGAATCCACTCTTATTCCGTTGATCCCTTTTCTCATTCCTACCTTGTTTGGTCTTTATGGTTGAGAAACTGGGGATTTGGCCAGCGGCCCGGAAGATTATTCTTTATTGCAACACTTTACCGGCGAAAGGCAGGAACAACACAAACCGAATTATTGGCTGCACCAACACAAGAAACATTCACAGGAGGGAAAAAACATAATTGTGCACCCTGCAGTAATCCTCAGCACACGATCCAGGCATGAGGGTTTGCCCTCTGCAAAACACGAGAAAAAAACGCATGCGGACATCTGCCATCATTCAAACAGAAACACAAATAAATGGTTGCCTGTTTCATTCCATTAGTTGTGCCTATATTTTTGAGTGTGCGTCTTCTGCTGCGGTGGTTCCCAGGCCTGCGTGAAGTCGTGTGCACTGAATATGAACGAGGGCCAATGGCAACCGATCTGTTTTTGTGATGAATGTTGGCTGCACTTCCCGTGAACCAACAATCCACGTGGTGTGCGGGGAACTCCTTCTTTTTTATTGCTACTTTGCTTTTGTGTTGCTGTGTGCGCTGCACCTTTTCCTGTGTGTGTGCGTACCCTCCGTGAGGGGTGCCGACACGACGGACCGCTCTCGCCGTATGTGCATGCGATGGAGCCTTTTGTGCCGCTCCTGTTTGCTTCTCCCTCCTCCATCTGTGTGTTGGTGTTGCGGCAGGGCTGTGTGTGTGTGCCTGCTGCCGTGGATTGGAGTGTGTGTCGTGCGTGGTGTGCGGCGTACGGTGCATGCCTGGCTGCTGCCCTCTCCTCATGTGGTGTGTCCTCTGTGTGTGTCTGCCGCACCTCTCGTCTCCCCTGTTGCTCTCCATGTCCCTCACTGTGCAGATCAGCTCCACACCACTGAACGACCACACTCACGATGATGACGATGTGCCGTCTGCTGTGCGCCCTGTTGGTGCTCGCCCTGTGCTGCTACCCTTCCTTATGCGCGTCAGAGACTCAGCAGAATCAAGCTCAGGCTGATGGAAACGACTCCAGGACCCCACCCCCTCCACCAGAGCCATCAACCACAACGACGACCGGTGGTCCAAAGCCCCCTGTATCAGAGTCAACACGTGGGGATACCGGTCATTCAGGGTCCTCAAGCTCAGGGCCCGTTAAGGAACCGGAAACACCTGTCAGAGGGGAAAAAAGTTCGAAGAGTACGGTGATGCAATCAGTTGAAACGAAAAAAACGGCAAAGACAGACGGTACGGCAGAGACACAAAGTCTCACGCACCCATCCCCACACAAAGCAGGTCAGAAAGCCGAAGCTTCTGCCCAGACAACCACCTCTACAACACAGGCACCAACTACAACGACCACGACGACCACCACTGCGCCAGAGGCACCAACCACTACGACTACAGAGGCGCCAACTACGACGACCACCCGCGCACCGTCACGTCTTCGCGAAGTCGACGGCAGCCTCGGCAGCTCTGCGTGGGTGTGTGCCCCGCTACTGCTCGCCGCATCCGCGCTGGCGTACACCACTGTGGGCTGAAGAGGTGTGTGTGGGCTGTGCGTGCCAGCACTCAGCCACGGGGACATGTGTGCGTCTACTATGGTCCGATGTATAAAGTAAGAGTAATTATAATGATCGTTTTTGCCTCATTTGCTTTCTTTGCCGTGCTGTGTGCTCCGCGTTGTGGCTCACTGTATCCGTCACGCTGAACGCATCGCGGACGCACTCATATGGATGCGCAGCAGAACCCTGAGTGTAGTTTTCTTTTCTTTTTTTAATTACTGTTTTTTATTGCTTGCTTTTAGACTTCTGGTTTGCAGGGCTGTTTGAAGGTTCTGCAATTGTACTGATTTCATTTATCTCGTGGTGTGCGCTGCTGATGCTCAGCTGCTGCCATTTGTGACGGTGCTTGGTTGTGTGAATTGTCTCTCGTCTTTGCTTTTGCCCTGCGTTGACGGGGAGTTGGTTTGTGCTGAAGGCTACACGCAAGTGACAGGAGTGATGGCGATGATGATGACTGGCCGTGTGCTGCTGGTGTGTGCCCTCTGCGTGCTGTGGTGCGGTGTATGTGCGGTGGAAGTGTCAATGGCCGATGATTCTGAAAATACCGATGTAAGCCAGGGTTCAGCAAAGGGGCCACCGTCTGAACTCGCAGGCAGAAATAACGGAAAACAGGAATCTTCAGACCAAGTCAGTCAAGGGCTCCAAAACGTGGGTGAAGCGTTGAATTCAAAAAAAGAAGCGGCTGGTAATCAGAGGAAGGATCCGAAAATAGAGACACCAACGGCCGACAAATCAATGGACGACAAAGGAGAAGCAGAGAAAGAACAAATAGGGGGAAGTGCAGGAGAAGAAAGTGGAGAATTACTTGAAGAACGGGAAGCGCCGCTGGATGGACAAGGTGGCGAAGGACAAGCAAGACAGGCAGGCAATGGTTCGGCGAAAGTGGGAGGTCACTCATCAGCAACAACGCCATCAGGAGGGGAACGAAAAGGAACTGGCGAACCATCACCGCCAGGATCTTTATTGCCGCCAGCATCAACACAGGGAAATGGAGCAGCACCACCAGCTTCACTGCAAGGTGCACCAGCAGCGACAATGAAAACAAATGAAAAAACAGTGGAAAACCCCAGAGCAGAACCAGAAAAAGAAAAGCTAAGCAGTGAAGATGACGTGCCAGAGCAAACGTCTCAAGGAGTCAATGACGGCGTGGAGCCAAACAATGATTCACAAAAAAAGGAAAATGTTTCCGTCGCACTAAAAGAACAGAATGGTGAATCGGACGGTGATTCTGAATCAACACAACCACGACACTTAGCTGTTGATAATGCCTCTAATATGGACGCAGAAAGGGGCACTGAAATAGGATTGCCGAAGAATAACCCTACAGCTAACAGTGCAGTAACAGAAGGTGCAAAAAGAGGTGACAATAAACATGGCAACAGGAAGGAAACACCGGTAGAAGCCACAGCTATAACAAATGACACAGCACGTACAGGCGACAGTGACGACAGCACCGCTGTCTCCCACACCACCTCCCCTCTTTTGCTTCTTCTTCTTCTTGTTGTCGCGTGTGCGGCTGCTGCTGCGGTGGTGGCCGCGTGAGAGTGAGTGTGAGAGAGCCATGCACCGCCCGCACACACACTCTTCCTTCTCTCTCTCTGTGTGTGTCCCCTTGCATGGACTCTCGCCCTCACCTCACCCCACGAGGCACACACAATAATGTGCCCATTGTATATATGCATGCACACCCATGCAGGCCCGTTGGTGCTCTCTTTTGCACGACACGCACCGCTGCCGTCCTGCCTGGCTGCATGGGCGGAGCACCGTAACTGTTTCTGTTTTGTTTTTATTGCATTGAGTGGGCGACCTCTCTCTCTCTCCCTCTGTGTGTGTGTTTTGCTTTACGGGAGTAATGAGA